GCCCCAGGAGGCCCCAGGCTCATGCACAGAGACGCGCTCGTACTACTGAGGCTCATTCACACTCCAATTCATTCGCAGTTAGATTGATGTCCAGACCGTCACAACTGAAGCCCGTTAATAATCGAAAGCTCTTGCGCCTAGACATTCACGGCGGACAGGTCCATGCGAGTAGATGCACATATGGGGAGCTCCACGCAGTGAATATTTTTTTGGGTATTCTTTATTTCTCGTCGGAAACCCCCCTGTAGGGGGACAGACCCGACTTAAAACTAGTCCACTGGTAGTTTTCAGGTCATCAAATACCACAAATCAACGCTGATTTTTTTTAGCTCGGGCCTCCGCGGCCCGCTCGGGACGATGCGGGCTTCCTCGGCGAGGAGGAGGATGAGGAGGAGGAGGAGGAGGAGGAGGAGGAGGAGGAGGAGGAGGAGGATCGGGCGACGAAATCTATACATATCCACTGCTCCCTGGCCAGGCCCACTCTGAACCCAGGAGCTGTGTATACGCCCTCCTGGCCCAGCCAGGAGGGTGTGGCGTTTACACTGCTGCTGGGTTCACGGTGTGCCTGGCCAGGGAGCAGTGGATATGTATAGATTCGGTCGCCCCTTTTTTTTGTTTTCTCTTTTATTTCTTTTTTAGAGGAGTAAGGAGGAGGCAGGAGGAGGAGGAGGAGGAGGAGGAGGAGGGGGAGGGGGAGGATGGGAGGAGGGGGAGGAGGAGGAGGATGAGGAGGAGGAGGAGGAGGAGGAAGGAGGAGGAGGAGGAGGAGGAGGAGGAGGCGGAGGAGGAGGAGGAGCAGGAGGGGGGAGGAGGGGGAGGGGGGAGGACGGAGGAGGAGGGAGGAGGAGGATGAGGAGGACGGAGGAGGAGGACGGAGGAGGCGGAGGGCGTAGGAACGCTCTCGACGAGGCTCAGCCGCCGAGGACCAGCGAGAGCGCCCGAAGGCCTCGAGCCTCGAGAGCCGGCCCCCCCTGGCGTCAGCCCCGCAGTCTCGTGGCCCGCCCCTCTGCCAGGCGTTGACACGGGCTCAGATCTCGAGCCCCTGCCAGGATTGAGGGTTGGGGCCGCGGGCGGGGCGGGACGCAGGTACTGCCAGGGCGGTTTTTGAGTCTGGAGCTTCACGCCTGAGGCCACCGAGGGGCCCCGGACGGCGCTGCGGGGCATGGCTCGAAGCACGACGAGCCACGCGTCAGCCAGCGTGGGCCCCGAGCAGTGTATTTTGAACAAGACGTATTGTAGAGTCGACGTGGGACATCATATGAGTCTGTCTGGTGTAATCTATGTGGTGCAATTCACTTGCCGACCTTGAAGTTGTCAACTCCACTGCTCGCGCAATCATCCCACCCACCCACCCGCAACTTGGTTTGCAAAACCCATGCGGGACCGGGCACAGACATCGCTCCGGGGTCGTCTTGGAGCCCTCGGGGGCGTCTCAAGAGCGCCCCAAGAAGACCGGAGAAGCAAGACGTCCGACGACGACGACGACGACGGCGGCGACGACGACGCCGACGTCGACGACGACGAAGACGACGACGCCGACGCCGACGACGACGAAGACGACGACGACGTCGCCAACGAAGACGACGACGAGAAAGGAGGGAGGACGACGATGGCGACAACGACGACAACGACGACAACGAGGGAGGAGGGAGGACGGCGACGACGCGAACGACGAAGAAGGAGGAAGGGCGGCGACGCCGACGACGACAACGACGAGGGAGGAGGGAAGACGACGACGAGACGACGACGACAACGACGACGACGGCGACGAAATAGGAGGGACGACGACGAGACGCCGGCGACGGACGACGACGACGACGACGAGGGAGGAGGAGGAAGGACGACCACGGCGACAGTGACGACGGGACGCCAAAGAGGACGACGACGACGAACACGAGGAAAGACACAGGACGACGTAGGCGACGACGACGACGACGCGGGAGGAGGGAGGACGGCGACGACGACGACGACGACGACGCCGCAAGAGCGCGCGCGCACGCTTTTGTTGAAAATCCGTGTTGCGAAACCTTGTGTTTTTGTAGGTGTTCTGGACGCGCGATTTTGAAATCCTTCCGAAACCGATGGGTTTTGAAGGATTTCGGCGTACGCGCGCGACGACGCGCGCGTCCCATTTTTTGCAAAGGATTCTCGCGACGGCACACGCGCAAGGGCGTTCGACAGATTTCGACATGCGCGCGCGCGACGCCCGTTTGGTAGCATGTTGTAAAAATCTTGAAAAACCAAAATGGTTTTCTTAAGAAGTCGCAAGAGCTCGCGCGTAAGCTTTTTTAGCACATCGGTATTACGAAACCCTGTGTTTTTGTATGTTTTTTTTGGAAACTCGATTGCGGAATCCTTCCGGCACCGAAGGTTTTTGAAGGATTTCGGCATGCGCGCGCGACGGCGCGCGCGTGTGCACTTCGTTCCGTTTTTTGCAAGGGATTCGCGAAAAAGTGGTATGGTATAACAACAAATGTCACCGCATAGTGTTACAAGGGGACCTCAGGGGGGGGAATCCGGTTGGCCTGGGACATTGTGATTTCATATTTAGGATGGACATGCGGTCATACACATATGTGATTTACATACCCGAAAGAACGCCGGGGGGGGGCGGGGTAGAGTGTAGTCTCTTTTTAGAAAGGAGAATCTGTGTGGTGCAATCGATGTGAAGCAATCTATCGAAGACGCCTATGGCGAATCACCGCCGCCCCTTGCCTTTTCGGAAACGCCTATGTGACAGGAAGTTGGGCTATAGCTATCGGACCATGTGTTCCCCCAGCTTCCGTTGAAACCTTTCGTCGGGGAATACGTGAGGAAGAGGAGAATGCGGGGAAGACGGAAAAAAGGGAGTAGGAGTAGGAGTGGTAGTAGTAGTAGTCGTAGCAGCAGTAGTAGTAGTAGTCGTAGTAGAAGTAGTAGTAGTAGTAGTAGTAGTAGTAGTAGTAGTAGTAGTAGGAGTAGTAGTAGGAGTAGTAGTGGTAGTAGTAGTAGTAGTAGTAGTAGTTGTAGTTGTAGTTGTAGTTGTAGTAGTTGTAGTCGTAGTAGTCGTAGTAGTAGTAGTAGTAGTAGTAGTAGTAGTAGTAGTAGTAGTAGTAGAAGTAGTAGTAGTGATAGTAGTAGTCGTCGTAGTCGTAGTCGTAGTCGTAGTAGTCGTAGTCGTAGTAGTAGTAATATGAGTAGTCGTAGTAGTAGTAGTAGTAGTAGTAGTAGTAGCAGTGGTGGTGGTAGTAGTAGTAGTAGTAGTAGTAGTAGTAGTAGTAGTAGTAGTAGTGGTAGTAGTAGTAGTAGTGGTAGTAGCAGTAATCGTAGTAGTAGTAGTCGTCGACGTCGTCGTAGTAGTAGTAGTAGTAGTAGTA